TCATGTAAACATAGCCTTTAAGGTCAATTGAGTAATCTGAGGGAACGGGTTTTTGTGATAGATTTTGATACTTATGAGTACAAAATGGCAATGAAGAGTAAAATTGTTGAGGATTTTCTCATTTTCAGATTCTGCAAGTTAAATATTAAAATTTTTGTTTGAGGTTCTGTTCCATTATTTTGATCCAACCGATACATCGAACCACTATCGGATAATCCCGAATGACGGTTTTCTTCAAGTTATTGAGGTTTTAGTATTATCGAAGCTCGACGGTCGTTCCAATCATAGCAAGAAATCAATTTTTTTCAGAGCACGACACAGGAAAATAAACAGGAGATCATTTCAGCTGAATCCTCGGCCTTGTTCACATGAGTGCATTTTAGGCGAATTTGTTCCACGAACTGCGGGCTGATTACTGGAATTGATAGACAAAGCAATAGACACTAAAGACAGTGGGAAAATGGGGCGACTCTATTTGGAAGACGTTTGTGTTTGCTAAAGACAGAGAAAATATGTAATAGATTAACGAGTAGCAACCGACAAAAGACTCTACAAATAATCTATCATTTCCACCTTTAGTCTGTAGGAACCACCCGTTCCAACCAATAGGTATGCTCCACACTCCCTATGTCTTTTTTGTTTATCGCTGTGTCTATCAATTTTAATAATCAGCTCGCTGGGGGGCTCAAGGAACAAGTTGTAAGTAAGTTATAACATGCCTCCGGAAAAAGTTATAGGTAACTTATAACATGCTCCTGGAACAAGTTATAGGTAAGTTATACATATAACATGCTCTTGGAACAAGTTAGCCCACAGTTCCTCGAGTCGCGATGAAGGACAAGGCTCTAGGAGGAGGGGAAAATTTTTCAGAAGGAGAGGCAAAAAAATTTCCAAAATGCCTTAAATTTGGTTAAAATTGCCCCCTGAAAAGAATGGTGTAAGGGGCCGTTCATAAAATACGTAACGCTTTTTGAGGAGGGAGGTCTGAGAGAGCGTTACGCTATTATGTTTTTACGTGTCATAGGATGAGGATATATGTTACTAAAGCGTTACAAGGGAAGGTTGAGGTCTCCATCCTCCTGGAATAACATTAGAACCATGGATTGATAACAATTAGTTCAAATTATTATCAGCCGATGACTAGAAAATAGCCCAAACATTTCACAGTAAAGACAGTTATTTTATGATAAATGGAGTGTGATCACAGATCACAGATATGCTCAACCGCAGTATCATCGAGATATGTCTCGGATTGCAGGACCAAAATGTTATTTTCGATCAGATGCGCTGTTAAATAACAAAACTAGCTGAATATTTCTGGAGGATCGGTCTATCTCGCAGAGCAGATAGCCTTGTTGGATTATCGATTGAGACCGATCTTCGTTACTTTCACTTTCATCCAAGATTTCGCATTTATTATGAAACTGCTATTGTCGAAATTGTCAAACTCAAGTTTTAAGGAGAGCACAATCCTCCGGTATTCGAGAAAAATTAGTAGGATAGAGCCTATTCAGAGTTGCCTTTTTCTTTCATTTATTTATATGATAATTAATATAATATTTTCGAATGTTCTTCCAAATTAGAGAATAGAAAAGAGGAATTTTATTAAACTGAGCTCAGGAAGAGTGGTAATAGCTTCGTTGATGAAATTAAAAATTCGAAAACAAGTAGATATAACATGAAAATCAATTTAAAATTCTGCCCACACTTGTCAACGAGAGCGGTCCGCCGTTGTCACCAAGTTCAATGCCTTCTTGCTAAATGTTGCTCTCTTGGTCTTCAGTATTTTTTTTGTCATCTAAAACGAAAACATTTGTCGGACATTGTGTCAAAATATTGCAGCAGAGTGCATAGTTCAAACTAGACCCTCAAATTCTGATTTTTCGAGGTAGGTTACCCATGGGAACATTTCAGTGGCGTGGCGTGAATAATCGATTATCGATATCTCGCCATTTGAAACTATGGTAAAGAATCGATTACTAAGGTGTTCACTTTGAACACCCTGATAATCGATCTTTTTTCATAGGTTTAAATGGCATAACAATCGATACATCGCAATTCACGCCACGCCACTGGAACATCTTGATTCGAGCCGTCACGTCAATATAGCGGACTTGCATTTTATGACGAGGGCGCTGTCCTCCATCTTTAAGGGTCAGTATTTTGGACACGGATGGACAGATCTGGAATTTCTTGGTCTCAATATGGGTCAAAATTTTAAGAACTTGAAACGGTTTCAAAATTTTGACATGAGCTCCGACTTTTGAGGTGAGGCGACCCTCCTTTTATCTCCCAAGGGGTGCCAGGGAGAGAGACTCGGGGACCATGAAATTCAGATTCCTTGGAGTCAACTCCCTGTTCGTCCCCGGGTTCTCGGATATGGTCCGGCATAAAATAAGCGAGAAAAACGCCTAGCACGGTGGGTCTTGGCCACCCTTTCTGTGGCTAATACTGATTTAGTGACCACGTCATTCAATTTTCGCTACATTCGATGGCCCACCCAGAAAAATTGGAATTTTTGGATTTCGATTGCTTTGCCGCGTTTTCAAAGGGCAGCGCAATTCAGTGGCGATTTATTGAATGACGTTACCACTGAATCAGTCTATATGGATCAAACAGCCAGAAATCTGCACTGATTTTAGATTGAGAGCATGCACGAGAATCATAAAATAATTTTTCGAGGACTTCATAAATCGTCGCTTCTCTGATGTGAGGGCGTATCTATATTCCCACATGAGTCCCGAAAAGAATAGAGTCATACGGAGAACTGGACTCACGTGGAAATTAATATACGTCCTTACGTCAAAGAAAAGACGATATAACCGCATTGCACGCATGCCTGAGTCAACTCATCCATTTGCACGAATTTTTGGAGGTCAGCCTATTGATAAGAAGTTCTTAGAGTTCGTGATTTTATTAACTCGGCCCGGAAATAGTGCGAATAATGATGAACCGGATTTTCTGCTTTTTAAGTTTACCATTAGAATTTATTGTTAGTTCCGAGTTCGTTTTCCTAATTATTCATGAAACTTAGAACACACGGATTCTTTTCATTTTCCTAGTGCTCGAAGACAATCATTATTCTTTTAATTTTCCTAGTGCTCGAAGACAATCATTATTCTTTTAATTTTCCTAGTGCTCGAAGACAATCATTTTCAAGTTAATGAATCAGCTGATGAAAGGAATGTTCGTCAAAATTTATGATTCTCCATGGGGTAGGAAAAAACGTTCCGGAAAATCGTTCAGGAGGAGTGATCATACCATAGGAGGATTAATCTTAGAATTTTCAACCTCTGTTCCTGAACGTACTTTTGACTACAAATTCGTTCTCTTCTTTTAAGGCGGAACTACATCACTCACAAGATTGGTTCTCGAGTCAATAGTTTATAATTACTTTTTTTTTCATTTTCCATTTTTTTTTTTGGTGGGAAGTTTACGCGGCTAGCACCACCTCTTTACAATGGTTTTAATAACGATTCCACACGTTTCGGGACCAGTCAAATCAGAACCTGTGGTTACATCAATCAAATATTTTAATTAAAAATCTAGAAATCCGTTAGAATTTGGCACAAACTACTGAGATCGACCTCAGCTAGTTGATACTCCAATGCGTCAGCCACTCGTAAGTATCCAAAATTGAAAGATAGTAAAGGAAACTTAAGTTCATTCTTTCTTCAAGGAAAATGTCTTTCTAGGAAAAACGCCGTATCAGCCTTCAGACGTTGCCAAATTTCTTCTGATAGAATTCAAATTTTCAAGAAAACTTGCGGATACTTTTCTTTCGATTTTTCAAAGCATTTAATTCGCAATTTAATCTACAGGATTTAAAAATTTCAGGTAAAAATATTAAAAAATTTCGTTAAAAATAAATATTTTAAGAAAGAGAAATTTGGCAACATTCGAGTGTTCATACTACGTTTTTCATTAGCACTGCATTAAGTCAGCAAACCTTTTTCTTAATCCTAAGGTTCCGGTCATCCTGTCCAACGCACACTGGACCGAGTCGATAGTAGAAGTCGGCTAAAATCTAGACTTTTAAAGAGACTTTTAAAGCCTATATTTTTTTAAAATATAAAAAAAAAAAGTTTAAGAGTGATTTCATTGGTTTTTTTGTACAATCTTCTTTCAGAGACACCCCTTGATATTGAATTTGTGACGAAATAAACATCAAAATGTAAAATTTTAGCTAAAAATTGCATGTCCGACCTGTAATACTAGCCCGTTCCACTGCGCCAGTTCCGGTTGATGTAAGCCAAATTTTGACTGAAAAACGGAATATAAGTCTTTTTGGTCATACGAGAGAAACTTATCCAAAGGTAAACACAAACGTGAAAATATTTTACTGTGTCGAAAAACTTTTTGGGAATAAACAAAAAATCATCACGGAAACACCCAAGTAGCACACGCTGAAATACTATGATACCTATAATAATTGTCATTGTATCGGTGTGTATATGGACATTTTATCTACCCACCAATTGAAAAGGCTCCTTTCAAGGAAATTTAATGCAATCAATCGTTAAAATAAGATGCAAGCTTTTTCTTGTACCTTCCTTACGTATGGAACTCATTTTGCTCATCGTTAAATTTCATGTCAGAAAAAATGACAATTTTACCGTCAAACTTATTTTAATACTTTTGTCCCGGTATGGTACTTGGACACGGAAAAAAAGTGTGAGGCATTTTACCCTAAAACTGCGATACTACCCCAATTTTTTGGATGATATGGACATTTCCAACCAATTTTGGTAACGCCGCAACTCAAGCTGGGGTAACTCCACAACATTTCGGATAGTAATCTAATTTATTGGGAGACTATACCACAATTAATTGGGGCACTGTCATAGTTAATTGGTGCACTGCCACAATTAATTGGAAATATCCAAGTTAGGACGCAACCCCTACTTTTTTTCCATGGAAGTATAAAAAGAAAATGTTCAACTTAACAAAAAATAAAACAAAATAAATAAAAAAATAATACGTGAAAAAATACCGCTTACCTTATGAATTATTTGTAAAAACTGTAGACACCAGTAAGGAGATTTCCCGGCAAAACACGGTGAAACTGGAAGGAACCCGCACTTTAGTTGGAAAAGGTAAAACTCACGTTAAGGTAACGATAAAGGTAACTTCAGGAGCCGCGGCGCGGAGATCATGTGCCCGACATCACTCAACCGCTTCGAGATGCATCGCAAATAAATCAAAACGGCGCGGGGCTTTACTGACCCACACTCACGAAATTACTTTTTATATATTTGCGTTTTCTTCTTCGACAAAAGGAGGGGGGTAGTGCGCTGCCCTCGCTGAAAAGCTGGGTGAATCGGCGTTAAAATCGGTGATTGGTGGCGTCGGTCACGTGGTGGGGGTTGTGGTGCAAACGGCGCGAACTTGGGGAGAGAGAGGCCCCCCTCTTTCGGGGGAGGCCCCCCCTCTCTTGGGGGGTCTTGGACGTGTGGGAGGCTGAGAGGGAATTGTTCGGAGTGCAGAGGTCCTCCTCGGTCATCGTTGATGAATCACTTCGAACTCTGCCGAGGATGCGTTCGCTCGGCGGGTGGGAGTCACTGCAGAGCTTCCGAGAAGAAGCGTGGTGGATGGTTCCATTTCGGAGGAATGATAGGAGGGCTTTTGGTTTTGTTTGTGCGGGGAACTTCTGAATTGGGCTCGGGGCCTTTTTTCAGCCCTTGAGATCACGGCTGGTTAAACTGTTCATTAATAGGATCGCATTTAGAGAAAAAGAACCAGCGCGATTACGGTATTGTAAAAATGTTGCTTCTTCATAAGTATCTAAAAATTCTCCCAGAATAGCAAATAGTTTTGGCTTCGCACGAAAAATTGTTAATTTTAAAGGAAAATAATTGTGTAAATTTCAATACTCTACATAAATTTCGTATTTTTCAAAGAAAAGGAGAAGGTGCACAATTTTGAAAACACTGTAATCACGCTGGTTTCTTCTTGCTTAATGCGATCCAATATCCAATAGATCGTGACGAAAGCAACAGAGAACATCAGAAATTCATCGCATTCAGCAAAACGGAACCAACGCGATTTAAGTGTTTTTAAAATCGCACGAATTCCTTTATCCTCTTGAAAATATTTAAAATATCAAAGTGAAGTACAAAAATTAAATTAAAAAAATACGATTAAATTTAATGAAATATTAACATTTACACCCTTTTTTCCCTTTAAAATTACCAATTTTTTGGAGGGAAGTAAAAACTATTTGCTATTTTTAGATAGGTAATTATGAAGAAGCAATATTTTTACAACTCTGTAATTGCGCTGGTTCCTTTTTGCTAAATGTGATTCAAATAATATTTGCCTGCGAGCATTTTTCCACGTGTTTAAGAGTATTTTCTCTTCTTATTCTTTTATCTTTCCTTTTGATCATTTTTTATTCCTGGATTTCTTATTTTTTATTTCTCTTTTCCTTTTTTTTTTTTTTTTTTTTTTTTTTTTTTTTTTTTTTTTTGTCAAGCGAAATTTTATTCAGTAAGTACATATTTACAGAAATCGTAATGTGCGTATCTTATTACTAATTTGCTTAGGTGATGATAGATATAAGTTATATATAGTGATAACATAATGTGTATGATAATAAAAGAGACAAGTAAAGTAAGGAGATAGTTAATAAGATAATAGTATAAGTTTAGGAAATAGGGTCAAGAGTTTACTTCGCGAGACATGCCGGAATTACCATCTGGTATATCTTCGGCTGGGGGTGGGGGTTGGGTGTTGAGTAAAGGTTCTCTTTTCCTTTATACCCTTAATTTTTTTTAACTTTTTCTATTTCTTTTATTTATCCTCCTTTTTGTCTTTTTCTTTCCTTTTTTTAGAGACTACTTAGCAGTGAGAAAGAAAAAACTTCGTAGAAAACCAAGGTACTTTTTGCAATGTACAGCTAAGTAGGTTAATATTAAAAAATGAGTTTAGAGGGGATAGAATAGAGTAAATTTAAACCCCAATGAGCTTAACTGTTCGTTTGACGTTTACACCAGTGACATAAATCAATTATTGTTATGAGGCATTAAGCCTCTTCATGTATAGCGCTAATGAGTTTTGAGGTTGGAGTCTTGTTACAAATACCGTGATGGAAACACAAATAATTATTGCATGTCCCATCATGATCTCTTTTCAGATTAGTGTTATGTGGAAAGAAAGGTATCATACTGTGAAGGTTCGCGAACGCATAAAAGTAATCGCCTCTTGCACACGCGGTCTTCGATGGTCTCGCAGAATAATCCATAAGCAAAAAAAAAAATCGCCTACAGTTTTTATTTAAAAAATTTGTAGATCTTTGTTCAAGAATATATCATCATTATGATAAAAAAAACAGCAACAGATTATGCAGAATCGTTTTTTATGATGGGTTCAGTTAACTTTAGTTGATTACTTACCTTATTTGAAGTTACCAGAATAATTTTTCCTTGTTTTTTTTCAGAATCCAAGTGAAAAATTCGCCGCTTTTGATTTAAATTGTGCAAGATGCAGGATTCTAAAAGGCAGAGGATTAACGCAGAATTACAAATTTTAGAATATAAAAACCCATACCTAATTATTATTACAATTCAATATCAGCTTGACCATGCATACGGGTTATGAACCAATATCAAAGGTTAGAACCATAAAAGAATGTTAAAATCGGTGATATCCCAGATACAATTTTGGAGCAAAAATAGCACAAAACTTCTACTCTTTCAGACTTTTATTCTATCTGTTTAAGTTTGAGCTCGCATGGCAGTTATAACAAATACAAAGCATATATTGGCTAAACTAACTAGAATCGGCATAAAAAACTAGAAAAAACCATTGTCTCCGAAGGAAAAACTAATCTAACAGGAAACTGTTCTCTCGAGAGAGAATATTGTTCTCACACCGTCGAAGAAACTAATCTCTTCGGAGGGAATAGTTTTTCCTCCGGGGAGAATAGTTTTCTTTCTGGATAGAATAGTTTTCTCTCCGGGGAGAATAGTTGTTTCTCCCGAGAGAATAGTTGTCTCTCCCGAGGGAATAGTTTTCTCTCCCTAGAGAAAAGTTCAACACGCAAATAGTCGTGAAAAAGTAATGTGCTTAACATTGAGTCTTATGGAGGAATAAGACTTGGGGCCCCTTTATCTCGGATTAAAGTTGATGCGTATCCATGCTTTCCCGTTAAAGTTGGTCCATACATATAATTGGACGTATTTATGCTAAAAGGAACGATGTGCAAGGGGAAAGATGAGGTGTGCTGAGGTGCTCGTGGTGAGATGGATAAGAAACAGTTGAAAACTGGATAAAGTTTCTTTTGAGAGAATGGAAAAGCGAGATTTGATATTACATCAAAAGGAACTGAGCGCTAACTCGTGAGCCGTGGACATGCGACAAGAGCCGTGTGGACAGGGCTCATGAGTTAATGCTCGACGACGGCGGCTTCTACGCTGCTGACGTCACTGGCGCTTTAAAAATCCCATTCATTTCCAAGGCCCTCAACTAACGAGCACACCCTATTTTCCTTCTTGAACAAAGTTCCATTTAGCATAAATAGTCAAATTATTAATTAAGCCTTCAGGAATATGTGCGCTGAGTGCCGATTGTATTCGAACGGTGCTCTAGCATCTTTAGAAACCGAGTTTAAAACACCAGATCTTTCATTCAGATCCTCAAGAGCAGCTAGCCTCGATCAATCACGAGATGAGTGCCCACAAGAAAAGAAATTTTTGCTATTGTCACGCATACTCTGAGGACGGTATCTCCCAAGGATGCGCCGGCGAATTTCAGCCACGATGCAACAGGACACTTGGATGGAGTGACCTCTTTCTCCCACGATGGTTTCACTTTGTGTCCCCTCTGGAAACTATGGAAACCTGTCGATCGACTCCACAGTTTCCAAAAACTGAATCGGACTTCGTGAGCGAAGATTGAAGATAAAACGAAGGGCTGTAAACTGGAGAGCTCTGACCGACACACCATCATGTGACGTAAGTTCTTATAAAAATATCATAACTCTTGAAGGTTATGTATAATTATTAGCGGCCCCCTGGCCGCTACGCGGCCCAACCCCCAGGAGGGCGCTTTGCGCTCACTCAGGCCCACATCGACAAAAAAACGACCCCAAAAAATGAAAATATTTTCATACCTAACCCTCATTTGTCCAATCCTCCTCCGGTCTGTAGCGATTAGACCAATGAGAATCGAATAAAAAAATCGGCATTTATTTCAAACTTCACACCCCGTCTGTTTCCAAAATTTTTAGTATGCAGCATCTATAATTTGTCCACAATAACGCATTTTGCGTGTTTAGTAAATGAATTAAATAAAGGAGAAAAATTCTTGCCTTTACACGTTTGTTGTTCATTGTTTCAGTGGATTTACATTTCGAAAATCAAGTCCATCCTCAGGACTAAATCACAAAATTACACAGCAAAACACCGGTAGTTGATGAAATTAGTTGATTTCGGTAAGTTTCTTTGCTGAGGATGGACTTCATGTCCGAAATGTACATCCACTGAACCAATAAACAACAAGCGTGTAAAGGCAAGGCTTTTTCTCCTTCATTTAATGTTTTTATCTTTAAAATAACCGTTATTTATGTTAATGACTGAATTTGAAAGTTGATGAAGAGAATGTTGAAATTTGATTTTTTTCATATAAGTCTGTTTTTTACTTTTCCACCATCGGTCTTAATAAAAACTCGTCATTGTCTAAACGTGAATGATTAGAGTATTTGCATATGTGCCAGAATTCTAATAGTATTTAATACATTTAATAATTGCAAAGTCACTTTTACGATCAACAATTCAGTCTTTTCACTGTTGCGTCCAGACCGCCATATTTGAGTTTCCATACGTCTATTGAAAAAGGAATAGATCGAGATAACCAATATTATAAAAACTTTTATTAAAAAGCTATTGTGAGGATAGAGCCGAACGAAGTCACATTCAGAGCGTCCCTCAACCCTCATTTCCGATCATTTCCTCATTCTATCCATTTAGTTTTTACTATAGTTTAAGAAAAATTATTATGACCCTAAGGAGTCCCGTATAATAGTTAAAAGTAAAAAACATCATCGTATTTTCCACTAATAAAAAAAAAATCCGTTGGATTATTTTGTCACAGATTTTACAGACATATCTCATGAACATCCGATCCTCGCTGGTGTATGCTATACGCTACGTTCTCTGTTCCACAAATGTCAAAATAGTCACGTTACAAACTCGTAATTTGAATG